TCTTCCGTTCTGGGCGAAGGATATGTGGCAGCCATCCAGCCCTGATCTTAATCCGCTTGATTACTCAATATGGTAATCCATGATTACAGATAATTTATGTATGTGCACTTTCTTCGATTATCAGTAATTCTTACCGATATCTACACGGAGATGACAACGGCGCCGGTGGTGTAGTGGTAAGCGTGATTACCTCTCACCCCAGCAGGCCTGGGTTCAATCCCAGTCGGAGCCGCCGGGATGTTCTGAGGCATAACATCTCTGATCACGCCTTCCTTCGGATGGGAAGTAAAGCCGTTGGTCCCCGGTTCATGAGTTGATGGGTCGATAGGTAGGGTCCAGGTGTGGGAGCTGCCTTCCTGGCACGTCGGTAGCATTGGTGCTCAGCACAGAAAACAAGATCGACGGAAAAAAAACAAACCATAAGAAAAAAAAAAAAAATACACGGAGATGAAAAACTATCCAAAATTAAGTACTTTTCCCTCAATTCCGGGGTTCAGCCCAATAATCCAAATTTGAGTAAATCGCATATAGTAGTTTCCATTTAACACCAGCAGGGCGTCACAATATCAGCTTCAATCGACCAAATCGATGCGACGAAGAGACTGCTGGCTTTCTTTTTCTGTTAAAGTCGAACCGCTTCGCAGCATTCTAGAACCTCAGTCGGCGTGCACAAACAAATGTTCAATCGCTTGTCTCTCTTTCTCCCGTCGCTCCATTGGTCTTCCTTTCAAGCTTCGTCGAAACGGATGAGCGAAAGAGCGCTCGACTTTGATAGTTTTCTCTTTCATGAAACACATCAACAGAGGTTTCATGACGTATATGACGGAAAATGAAATAACACATTTAAAGCATTTCTCACGTCAAAACACTTGAAGATTACACGTCATATTTTTAATTTATCTTCCATCCATATATTTATCTAAAAAAATGATCGAAAACGGGACATAACGCATTTTAAACAAATTGAAAGAGCGGTGATAGAGTGTTCGTGAAGGGGGATTGAAAGCCATAATGAGCATCGTTTAACTAGAAAATCGACGTTAGTTACATTGAAAGCGATGAGCAAAGCAACGACGAGAAATTCCACAGCCAGCCTTTCCTTCTAAGCGTCCTGCTTTTTTATTTTCGTTTCTTGCTGATAGTCTAGCTAGGCGTTATAGAAATGAAGTGTCGAACACGTATGTATGAGAGAAACAAAACACGAGTTCATTTTAGAGCTTCGAAATTGTAGAGCCCTGAACACCAGCAAAAAAATACCTACTCTTAAGTATATTCTACACAAAATTAAGTTTAATTCACGTAAATTTGAGAATATGCAATTTACTCAAAAGTAACTTATTGGGCTGAACTAAAGGGCGAACACGAAATTATTGCGACACATTCAATAGGGCATAACTTTTTTACCATTGGGTAAAAATCCACCAAATTTTGCACACTTTCTCATTGATGTGTATTGTGTACATGCTGTCAAACTCGAAGTCGTGTTTTTCGATTCAACGAAAATGGAGGTGAACCAACGCGAGTTGAGAGAACAAATTCTTTCCAAACACCTGGAATTTCCTGACCTGTCGCACCGGCAGTTGGGAAAAATGTTGAACATTCACCATTCAACCGTCTCCAGAGTGTTGAAGCGGTTCCAGGAGCGGTTGACGTTGGACCACGGCAAAGGAGCTGGAAGAAAACCGGGACCGGAGAACAAAAAGACGGAGGGAAAGGTGAAGCGGATGATTAAAGCAAATCCCAACGTCTCAAGCCGTGATTTGGCTAAAAAGATCGGCATGTCGCAGAGCTACGTCCAGAATGCAAAGAAGAGAGCTGGACTACATACATACAAGGTACAGAACTTCCCAAACCGCGATGAGCGGCAACAATCGACGGCTAAAACTCGGGCACGGAAGCTCTACGAGAAAATGCTGACAAAATATGGCTGCTGTGTGATGGACGACGAAACGTATATATAAGCCGATTTTAAGCAAATTCCGGGGTTGGAGTTTTTCACCGGCAAGAGCAAGTTCGATGTGGACGACAAATTTAAGAAGAAGAAAATGTCGAAGTTCGCCTCCAAATATCTCATTTGGCAGGCCATCTGCTCTTGCGGACTGAGGAGTGAGCCTTTCGTGTCAAAGGGCACAGTAAATGGCGAGATCTACAAATCTGAGTGCCTCGAGAAGCGCCTTTTGCCGTTCTTGCAGCAGCACGACGAAGCTCCGCTATTTTGGCCAGATTTGACATCATGCCACTATTCTAAAAGTGTCCTGGAGTGGTATGAGACCAATTCTGTCCATTTTGTTCCAAAGGACATGAATCCGCCAAACTGTCCGGAGCTGCGCCCGGAATAATGAAGCGGGAACTTCGGAAGAGCAAGAAGACAGTCAAAGACGAGAAGGACATGTTAAGAAAATGGAAAAAAAAAAGACTGAGAAACTGGTACCGGATGACACTGTAAAGACTTTGATGGAGGGCATCAAGCGAAAATGCGTTCAATTTTACACTCAAGGCTCCATCGATTAACTTTTCTTTTGATTTTTGAAGTAAATATATGTATAAAACTACCCTAAAATTTTGGTTTGATTCTAAACATTATAAGAAAATTGGCATGACATTTTCGGTGTCGCAATAATTTCGTGTTCGCCCTTTATATCGTTGGGTCGAATCTCTCGTTCCTTTTTTGACAACAATAACGAGTGCAAGTTAAAGGCTGAAGTCAATATTAAGTAAAAAGAACTCAAATTATGGGTAGTATTTTTCTCCGTGTAGGTATTCTTTACCGACTTTAAGGCCTAGTGCACTGAACCTAAACATCCGCAATACTTCGAATGATTATTGCATTGCTCGAGCCCTTTAACGATATGCATTAGAATTTCGGATGATTTTCTTATGGTTGAATTCGTCGTCAGATGATGAGCATCCATATGACTGTCATCCAAATACATAATGAATTTCGTTTGAAAATTAGCTATAAAACATACGGCACTCAGAGGACAAACAATTAAGAGTAGTGTGACATGCAAGTGCTTTTAAATAGATTTATAATTTGATTATCAACATTTCTATACTGAATAGCCATAATCTAATTAGCCATTCCATAATGGATACACAATTTTTTCGTGGTGGAGGAAACATTGGTTTTCGTCCTTTACCTATGTTCGACACAGCTCTGATAGCGATGCATATGCTTCCACCTCGTTTGTCAGCTCAGATCAGCAAATGACATTCGATAGAATTATTTACATCATCGTTTTGAATGATTTGCGTTATGAGGCTAAACCAATACCATATACATTTCCATTTAGTATGACATTCATTCTGCAGAGAGCATTACGCATTTCAACTGAAGGCCCTATCCCTTCTCATAACAATTTTCATCCTGTTTTCTAGAGGAAAATCATCTGATTTCAAAACAACCGTCATCCGTTGCAGGTATCATTCGAAAAAGCGATTTCGATGATTTGTTTTGAATGGTCTGAGGTTTCATTCGATCAGAGGATGATGTTTGTGTACAGTGTGCATCTTAGCGTGTACGCTAAAAATATCTATAATAAAGTTTAAAAAAAGCCTACTCTGTCAAAACCGTCCATCATGTCAATATTTTTCTCCGCACCACGCACAGTAAGGGTCAGACCAGCATTATAAAAGCTTTCTCCTCCGAGGTGTTCTTAACAGACAGGAACAATCATGGAATTTTTAAATAGAAATTCAGTTTGACACCCTGATAGGGTTAACTACCCCATTTCCGGTCTATTAAGCACAACCCGCACTTAGTCTTTCTTAATCTATAGCAGTTTAGCACCGAACGGAATGTTTTTATTACTGATGGCTTCCAAATTTATTTACTTTTCCGTACGTACCGTAAGATTTGATAAAGAGAAACCAATGGTTGAGACACAGACAAACAGACGTAACACTTTGAAATTTTTTTTCTTGAAAACATAGTATCTCAAAACATAGGTCCTCAGTAACGACATCTCTCTGGCTTCTCGCGGAAAACAAGCTTGCTCGCTAACTCGCAAACAATATTGCATAAAAGTTCTATAGAATGTATAGAAACGTCAAAGTGATCCGATGCCAGCGCTGCGGCGAGTAGTTCGCGGAACTGATAATATTCAAATCAACCGTTAAATGCGTGAACGAAGATACACAATGAAGTGTTACGTCTGTTTGTCTGTGGTTGAGATATTGCCAAAAGTCTAACACTGCTTCTTGACGCCAAACTCGGCCTACGGATTCTAAACTCGGCCTGACGCATTGAAACACCATTGAAACGCCAATGAATTCACTTCGACCTGTCGGATGAAGATAAAACATGATTCGGTCGGAGCGCTTGTTTTGTTTTTGGGAAAAATGGGTGCAAACATTCATATCACGCGTTCTCATTGACTTCGTTCGGTAGCTTATTAACTAAAGTATCGTACCAAACGCATAATAGACTTGTTAACTCTGAAATCATGGATTTATTTGAAGTTTTCTGATCGATAGGCCCAAAATGGGCGGTTAGGCCGAAGTAGTTTTCTACCCTACTTTTATTATTTTGAGATTAGAGTCCCCATTTGGTTATAATAATTAAAGCACAACATCAAGATACCGCTAGTCTGAACAAGGATCTTCTGGGCTCTTCTACCGTAGATAATCAAATGATCTTCCTTGGAACATCCACACCTAATATCTTAATTTTCTTTCCATTTCCTATTTCCAGGGCATCAGCGAAACGGCACACAATTTGGTCGAGCTGACGGCACTCGAGCATGACCAGAAGGGCTACACCGGTGCCGTTGGAGCGGTAATGCGTCAAATTCCGCCTATGGTTATGCAACCGATTGTGCTGGCCACCCAAGCCACCAGCAACGTGCTCGGCGGTGTGAAGAACCAACTTGTGCCAGATGCCCGTGCCGAAGCCCGTGAAAAATACAAGGATGATGTAGAATAGAGAAGAACGGTGGCCATTTGTATCGTATGACTTCTTCTTCTTCTTCTTCTTCTTCTTGATCCATCAGTTGATGCTTTATTTTACGCAACTTTGACACTAATGTTAGTCTTTTGTGATCTAATCAAAACCCACTGTTTAGAAATAGGTTCAATGTTTATGACTATTCATATTTTAAGGTGAATTGATTCTACACGATTAGGAGCAACTTATCCGATTTTTAGCAAAACGAAGAAAATCATGTGATAAACAGTAATGTAAACAATATGCTAGAGCAGCTATATACTGTGACCGTGTGCCGTTAGGTACGCAATAAACGAACCGCATTGAATTCAATAGCAACCCTTTTTCGGAAGCAGTTTTACGACAGATTGAGGAAGGTTTTTCATCGAACGTTTAAAAAAAAGTCGCACGAATTAGTAATTCGGTATGATATGATAGATGGTTAATCTCTCTAAAAGCTAATAGTTGAATAAGAATCGTTCATTCTGCTACTAAAGAGTTCCATCTTTCGTCTCTAGTTTTATTGTATTGAACAAAAATTAAGAATATCCATATTTCTATGAAACTAAGATTAAAATATATCCTCTCAACAATGCTAATCGGACCGTATCGAAAATGATAGAAAGTGGGCAGTTTTCGTGTGTGACGGTATGATAGGAAAATTTGGAATGTTTCTTCTGTCAGTCATTTATTGAAGAACATTTTTAAGATGAGCGAAACCACGTGCTAGGCATAATTTAACACTAGAGAGCAATGATTGTGAGTGAACGCGGACGAAATGATTCGTATCATTTAAAACTAAATTCAACATCAGTTGAGAAACGGTCGAAGCAACATAAATACACCACCAGAGTGTGATTAGTACTTCGGATTCCTGTTATCCTTTTCATTTAACATTGTGAAATCCCTCAATATGGTGAGTTGCAGCAACAATTCACTATCAGCTGATGCTCGTAGCATGAATTTGCGTAAAGGAAACTGCAATCCTCCTGGTAGCCGCAGCCCCCGTAGCCGATACCTGTAAGTCATTTGTGTATGTCAGTTCATGCTCTTATGTATTTATAGAACCTACATACCGTTGGAAAGTCCCCCTCCAAATCCTTGACCGTAACCGCTGTTCGTGGTTCCGCAACAGCATCCATCGTGGTAAACCTTGTAGTCACAGTAGCTGTACACGGAAGCATCGCACAGTGGACATCCGGGAAGGGCTCGCCTTTGTGGAACCAGTATAATCTGCTGGGCAGGAAGGGGCGATCGTAGCGTATCTAGAACACGCGTTACTAACTTCAAGGTAGGAGCTTCGTCATTCTGCGCCGGAGACTCGTTCTGCGGCATATCGTTGACCGTGCTTGTTTCATGATTTGCAGCTGCTGCTACCGTCGGATCGGCAGCTACCAAGGGTTGAGGTAGTATGATTTGATGGAATGTGGGTGATTGGAGAATTTCGACTGCAGAGTGGCAAAAATAGTTATTATTTTATTTTATTTTGTTTGATCTGTAGGATATGATTGGATTATCTGAAAGTAACAGAAAAGGCTTCGTAGACCTTGATCCGCAGATCAAATTCCTAAGCATTAACCATTTAATTTAAACCCTATTTATTACATAATCTTCTTCGTTCAGCATTAACCATTAAATGTGAGTTTCTGGAAAAAGCTTCAGTGATTTAGATATTGTAATTGTTCATTGCATATCCCGTGCCTTCCGCTAAATTGGCGTATCTAGGGATGAACCCCCAGGTCCCCAGAACTTTGTCACATCCCTACTGAGACTTTCAGCCAACCCTCAACATAGTGTTCATTTACCACTTCTACAATTGTTAAGTGAGAGCTTTCTGCCTGTACCATTAATGGATTAGTTTCATTGTGTTCAAGGCGTTCAAAGCAACAACTTTTTTGATGAATTCGATAAATTTGGGCGACATGGAACATCTTTTGTTCTAACAGTTTTCTCAAACGCCTTTTTACATTTCTAAACAACAAAAAACCTTTCGAGAAAGAAATGGCGAATCATGGAGAAACATCCTTTTTTGACTTAAATGATCTTTATTTCTTGTATTTGCGTGGTTTAGGTACATGTTTGAGTTATCAAGTGACACCGATGCGCCTTTTCAACTTTAGTTCTTTTGAAATTTCAATTATTATTAATTTCAGTTTCTAGTCCTATCAGCCCTGTTTTAGAGAATGACCACCTTGGTGGGATTGGTTTGTTTTAAATTGGAAAAAGGAAACTACTTATAACTACTATTTACAACTACAACTAACATACAACTACTGTGTGTGTGTGTCATCTTCTATCCCTCACCCAGCCGGGGGCGTTGGACAAGTAGAACTGCGAATAATTTGATCAAATCTCATGCTCCGTAATTGTGCCCTTTATGTTGTGAAGACTAGTACTTCAAAAAGGGTAACTTTTGAGGCAAGACAGGGTGTCCTCAACAAGTTAAGGGAACAGGATGCACTAAATGTCCACAACAGGTACAGCAAAACATCACATAGACGCCCTTATTCACACTAACTACTCAGGGGGTAGAAGGTCAAGAAGAGCCGCCGCCGCCAACTAAAGCTTGAACCGGGTACCTGGGACTCCCACGATATACCCGCGGCAATGGTTAGCAGACGATGCCCTGTGCTTATTTAGTATGTAATATGTTTTATTTGGATACACAAAATGTTTGAAGCCATGCGTCATCTAAACCATAATTTGCATTACCACAAATACACTTGTCAACAATCTTCAACTGGAACGTACTCACCAAATCACTTCACCCGGGAGCGCATTCCCGATGCTTCCACGCATATTTTTCTCTAGTCATCCCTAAACAATTCCTCCTCCAGCGACTCCAACCACACTACTACAACTAACCTACAACTACTAGGGGAATTTACGTATTCTCGTCAATCTAAGCAGCGTCTGCACTTCTACTAGCATTTTCTCAGCGTCACGCACATATATGATGTGTCTGTTTGTTTACATTCATCTGCTGCTTGCTTCTCTATCCATTCCAATCGACAGAATTTTTCAAAACGTTTTGAAAGCGTTTTTACAACGCTCCAAACTTCTCAGGTGAGTGTGACTATTGTCGGCAGCCTCTTTTTCTTCGGCAACCTTCCCATTAGAACTGCGTGTTAACCAGCTGTTCTATTATCGGCAACTCGAAATCAACCTCATTTTGTAGTGCGTATGCTTTATTTGAAGAAAAATGTAGCATTACTGGATTGCTCGATCGTTCAAATATAATCAGATTGAAGCTGAAAGGCTAAACAATCGTTTGGACACATTCAGGGAAGTGCGTTGATGGGAAAACATAGTGAAATTAACGTTTAAATTTTGGTTGCCGAAAACAGTCAATGGGTGCCGAAGCCAACATTTACCCTATATACAAATTACTTATCAAAGCATATTCTTGAACACAGTTAGCGCTCAACTTCCGTGCCGAATAGATGCTTATACAACTATCGTCTGCGGAAGCCTTTTGCCGGCTATCTTTGCTCACGTTACAGTGTAAAAGTGCGTATCCGTGATTGAGTGATCGCCGTGAGTTTCAGCGCGTTTTTTTTATGATACTGCGTAGCAATGTCCGCGATAAAACGCCGCGAACACACATTTCGCATTGACTATGCGAATGTGCCGAAGAAGCCATCGTTCGAGGAGGTCCACCAGGTTCGTTGGTGTGACGCTGAGAATGAAGCGTGAAGGTGCCGTGCGGATTCAATACAGCCGCAACACCGGAGTTGTCTTTGTCAAAGCCGCTTGCCTCGAAGTGACCGATTGGCCCACCGATTGGACCAACGACCGATTGGCAAAAAAAATGCGTTGTGATAATGGCAACGTTTCACACGACAAAGACTCCAACCACTAAACCGTCCTCTTCACCAGCTATAATATTGCGACCATGAACATAAACAACATTACGAACACAACGAAACTTAACGCACTTCGAACACTTGTCCGAACGATTGAGCTCGACGTCGTTTTTCTGCATATACATTTCTCTCATGTGGAGATGGTCGTCTGGTCGCTTTGCGTGTTCTCGATACCACACTTTGTTGCGTTTACGCTCCATCTGGAACAGTATACCGCGCCCAGAGAGAGCGTTTCTTCAACAAGACAATCGCCTTCTACCTCCGACACCGCACCGAGCACGTAATTCTCGCAGTCGATTTGATTTGTGTGCTGCGACAATGCGATGCAACGAGGTACAATACCAGGGTGTCGACTACCTGGAAAAACCTGGAATGTCAGGGAATGTCAGGGAATTCTATTTATGATCTGGAAAGTCAGGGAATGTCAGGGAATTTTAGTGTAGGTCAGGGAGAAAAAATTATGTTGATCACATTGCCAAAAATCATGTGTGGAACTCATAAAAACAATATTTGAAATTTTATCAGTGCATGACGTCCATGTTTTTGGGAAGATCCCGGGCATCAGATCTACTCGCTGCGTTTATGGACGCCCTTGCCGGTTGCTGCAAGTATCCATGGATGGGCCCAATGTGAATTGAAGCTAGAGGAAAAAAAAAAGGTGGCGAGAAACTGATAGATCTGGGAAGCTGTGGGCTGTTTATTTTGCATAACGCATTCAAGGATAGTGTTCGCAGTATCAGTTGGGATGTATTTGCGTGGTGTCTACAATATCTTCAAAGATGTACCAGCAAGACGAGCGTTTATCACGATGTATTCTGGATCTACCATATTCCCGTTAAAGTTTTGCGCTCACCGATGGTTGGAAAATAGTGCTGCTGTTCAGAGGCAGGACTGGTAGCGAGTCACTTTTTAGTGACTTGGTCACTTTTTTCAAGTCAGTTACTAAAAAGTCTCTTTTTTTAAGGCCAAGTCACTAAAGTTACTTTTTCTTGTAATAAGTAACTATTTTCAACTTTTTTAGCGTAAATTTATTTCAAGATTGATTATTCTTTACGTTGCGACGTTTAATCGTCTTTCTCTATGTATGGATGTCTATTCATTTTTCTGGATAAAATTACCTCAGTTTTCCAAGTAAGTATGTTCAAAGTCTAAAAATATTCAATGTCTTGAAGTTTCGTATTCCATGTACAAATTCAAATTTTGAGAACATCAAGTCAAATCAGAGAATCAAAGGGCCGTTCAAGTAATTTCAAGGAAATATTAGAAACCTTAAAAAAGTTTCGAGAAGCTCAGTGAATTTCCGAAAACTTCAGCAAAGCTCCGAGAGCATTCCTGGAAATTTTATGAACATCCGGAAAACGTGAGAATATTTTAAGGGTGTTATATCATGGAGATTTCAAGAACTTAAAAAATGTGAAAATTTAGCTTAGTTGGTTAGAGAACATAAACGAAGTTCCATTAATAAAAAAGCGAGAACTTTTAGCAAGCAGTGATATATTCTAGAAATTCCAGAGAACTAAATTTAGATATTTCTAGATAGTTAAATGATATTCAGCGAAGTTCCGAGTACTTCGAGGATGATCAGATAGCTTCAGAATAATCCCATTAACTTCAGCAAATTTGCAGCAACTTACAAGGAGTTCCGTGGAATTATAGGGTATTCCACGAATTCTATGATTGATCCTTAAACGTCAGAAGCGTCAGGGAATTATGAATATGTATCAGAAAATTTGCTGGATTATTAAACAAATTCAGAGAACTTCAGGTAAGCATAGATAAGTTCAGGGAAAAGCGATCGTTAATAATGGTTATGATACTTGAGGAACATTGTCGAAACTACAAGGCAAATTAATTAATTCAGTAAAGGTGCGGGTTCTTAAAAAACCTGATAAATTCAGGGTAGTCTAGATAACTTTAAAGAAATTCAGTAATCGTTTAGACACCAAGAAAGTCTAGACTATTGAAGAAGTTTTAAATTAGTGTCGATAATTTAAGGGATGTTTTATGAACTTCAGAAAAATCTTGAGAACTTCAGTGGAAATCATAGAAAAATATTAATTATTTCGTTCTAATTTCATGAAAATTTCGGGAGCACAAAAGTTCCATAAATTTAGAAAAATTTCAGAAACGTTGCAGAAAGACAGTGGTCTTCAGAAACCAAAAAAAAAATATTTATTTTTTTAAATTTATTTCTTACTGAAGATTAATCCACTGTGAATCTTAAAAATTCAAAGTGTGAAGGAAAATATCGAGAAAAAATAAATGGTTGTGTTTTAAATTCATTATTTTCTTAGTAAGAATTTTTTTTAAATTCCTTGAGACTTCCAGGTATTTTAGGGAAACAAAAAATTTCTTGAAGATTCCCGGTTTTCCAGATTTTTGAAATTAATAGACACCGTGACTAATACTGTGGGTTTGGTAATAAAGTTTCTATTGAATATGTCGCTTTAAAGGTTAATATCGTACATAAGTGTTTATGAGATAATAATTTAATAAGTCTAAAACATCATACATTTATTTGATGTACCTGGACCTTGTATTTGGTCACTTATTTATTCAACATGGTCCCTAAAATCACTATT